ATTCCCAATGAATACATCTCATGTGTGCTTCACCCCTCGGTGGAAGGGTTGGGACCCATCCTGAGACATTAAAACAAGTCTTCTTATATTGTTTAGTTATTTATTAATTTATCTGTGGTGAAGTATGAGCTATTTTCTATGTTGTATACGAAAAACAAAAAATATATTCTTCAAATTCACGTTGACAGAAACAAAATCTCCATCTTTGGTTCACACAGCCAACAATTACATCATCAAACTGCTAATTTAGTAACCAAAAGTTACTGACGACGTAATACGAAACTGAGAATCGTAGCAAATCCACAGATTAGAGAATCTGTAACCAAGATATTTTCAACTCACAGGTGAAATTATTTAGTGTTTAAACTACAGAGAGCGATGAAGGACGGAGGGAACAAACCGACTCAGTTTAACAACATGCAACCTTTGAGACTGAAGTTTCGAGTACATCATCTGTCTTTAAGTACCTTTGTGTAACACACAGGGGTTGCGGGGACCCTCCCCACCCCCCAAGAAACATACTCATACAAATAAACATATAAACACATACTCATACTGTACACACACACTTAGTTAGCTGAAACCAAACCTACACCATTGAAAGTAGGTAAGTAGGTCTCATCTTCTTGAGGTTTCAGCAAATTTCTGCACCAGTTTTATATATAGGGCATTGTGTGTGTGTGTGTATGCGTGTGTTATCTGATAAGATTTAATCTAATATGATAAAAAACTGATAATAACAGCTTTCTTGAGATATTATGATATGAAATATTAGAGATATTAGTCGATATTTAGTGTGACCATTTAAAGATTTTTAAAGAGGTAAAACACACTTAAATCACTTAAATGAGCTGTAAAATAAATATAAATATATATATGTCTGTACTATGATAAAACACTTAATGCTACTGTTAATATTGACATTTAAATGTATGATAATCTGCATTTCGTGGGTTGAAAATGTCTCAACACGCCCTTTTAAATCATCCTGAACCTGACTTAACGTCACAACATTTACTTTAAAAAACCCAGTTAACGTGAAATGTATACATATATTTAAGTATAAATGTAAACTGATGGAGTTATGCTGGTTGTTACTAATCCACACTCCAGGAATGCCTGCCATTTATTTCCAACGGACCAGGGTGCACCTGTGGACACGCCCCTGGTTGTCGGTGACATTAAATGCCATAAACTTCATAGACTTTAGGCAACAATGCAAAATCCAATGGTACAACCTGATCCTTGGAGCTCCCTATTTGTTTATTTTATTTCTTTCATTGTTCAACAGTCAGATCTTGCCAACCAAAAGGGCATCGAGGACACACTGGCAGCGTATGACTCACTTCAAAACACCCACACGCTGTGTTTTCTATGTTAAACGGCACACTTGCAGCATCTTGATGCACTGCTGTCCTATTTACCAGCGTCAATGCTTCAGTAAACTCCTTTTTACGTCCGTATGTCAAAAAGTTGCACTTCAATGCGCTTTCGCTCACTGGGATTAACAATAAGAATGTCGTCTTTCTGTGCATCAAAAAACGTCTTCAAGTGTATAAAATAATAATAATGACGTTATATATTATATATATTGTAAAATTAAACCTTTGTCATTTCCTGATGCCAAAAATATCCTTTCAACGTGCTAACTGAACACAAAGCTGTTTTTTACATTGTCGTTGTTGTTTAGTTGCATTATTGTCTTTTTGTTATTGTCCAATAACAGTCGAGCAATCCTCGGTCAACTTCCTTCTGTCCTGTACTTAGATATGCTACGTGCTAAGCTAATCTATGTTCAAAAGACAGACACATTTTGAAGATGGTTAAAAGATAAACGTGAAGTTGGCTAATGTTACCTAAACATCAGCTAACTAACTAACTAGCAGTTTATGTAATCACTAGTCAGCTTTCAGATATAATACAAGCTAATTTACATCAATTGTTAGCTCGATTGTTAGCAGATGTTTTGTGAGTATATATGTCAGTTTTACTTTTTAACCATCTTAAAAATGTGGTTGTATTTTCAAAATAGCTTAACGTAGCACGTAGCTTATCTACAGGAATGATGAGGCTTGCTCAACAGAACGTAGGAAGGGTCAATTATAAATGATTAGAAATAACTTTAAAAAACCAGAGACTGTTCCTTTAACTGACACCAGCAGAGTGAAGAGACAACGTTTATATTCAAACCAAACTTTATTTTATTTTCAAGTAAATTTTGTCACATGCACATTATTCAGCACAGTCCAACAGTCTGAGTTCAACATTTAAATACTGTAACAACTTTTTTTATAATAATCAGCCATAACATGGCAACATGATCAACACCTTTCAGCTAAGGCATTAAAACATTCTGATCAATAAATAGATCAATCGGTCATACTCGAGTCAATATAAATACTGTACGCTTCTATATAAAAAACTTTAAATATTTTCTCAAATTAAATAGATTAATAAATAAACGTATAAAAGTTGTTGGTATAAAAGTTGATAAATATGATAATAGATACTGTTTGCTCATTGTTCAGTAGAAACAGCCGAGGTGTTGGCAGTGGCGGTGGTGGAGTTTCTCGGGTGGAGGCAGAAGTCCTGCAGGTAAGTGAACAGAATGTCGATCTCTCCCACAGCTTTGTTTATGCCTTGCTCGCCCCCCATCTGAAACAAATACAGACACGTTAGAAACACACAAGTACAAGTTAAAGGAAGTTAGCAGAGTATTAAGTGTGTCTGATAATTATAATGTAATCCACTATGTAGGAAATAGTTCATTGCTAATTTTTCGATTATTTTCTGTTAATAAAACAATTAATAGTCTATAAACCAACAATATTCAGCGTATTGTCACGTAAAACAAAGAAAATCTGCAAATTATCACATTTGAGAAGCTGCAACAAGGGATTATCTGGTGTTTCTTCTTTAAAAAAATTGATTAAACTATGAATTTATTATCAAAATATAAGCCCGACTGAATTTCCTCTATGAGAGTGAAACGGTTAAAGCTACAGAATAAGATTACTGCCAAGATTAAAATGGAAATTTGGAGTTCTGACATTAAAATTTATCAATTCTGGGATTAAACAAATTCAAAGAAATCATATAAATGATTAATAAAATAATAAATAAAATTGGATGAGAAGACAAATTTATAAGATTAGTCCCAAGATTCAAATTTAAATATTGAGATTTAAAACCAGATTTCTGACAGTAAAGTAAAAAAATTCTGGGATTAAAATAGTTAAAAATGACATTACTACATTATTAATAAATGATCAAAATATTGTTCAATTCAGTTTCTGTTAATCCTCTTATTGATTAAATGATATTTTAAAGTAAAGTCCTAAGGCCCTAAAACAAAGATGAGCAAACACCTCTAGGCTTCCGTAACAAACTCTATTTGAAAAAATGACATTTATTTTGAAGTTAAGTCTCTTAGTAAGTGTTTTAAAATGTAAAGTTGAGTCTTACTTTGGCGAGCTTTCTGCGAAACTCCACAGCGTGGTGATGGTCGTGGTAGTGAGTCACATTCTGGAGAGACAGACAGGTGCAGGAGGTTAGCAGCTGTTATCGCTCGACAATCTCTGTTTGTGTCGGTCTTTAACGTCCCTGACTGAAACCACAGCGAGTCGTTATCGATTTTAAGATCGTAACCACAGCGCTGCCACACACAACAGCTCCATCATAACAAAAAGTCTAAAAACATGATCTGACTTTGTTCGAAATGAGCGGCTGTATTTAGAAACTAATTTTTATAGTTATAAATACGTTTTTATTTAATATTTTTGACTTATGCTAAGCTAATGTGCATTCTTGCTGAGTGTTAGATGAGAAGCTTGATACCACTCTCATTTCTATACGTTAAATATATAAAACAAGTTGTGGTGTTAAGGGTGTTAAAGAGCTGAACTATTTCTTCAACAAAGTCACTGCTCCCAGCCAAGAAGTAGTTCGGGACGTAAGCCCTATAAAACTTAGCTGTTTCTATGCTAGCTTTTTCCCCCTGTTTCAAGTTGTTACGCTAAGCTAAAGACCAGAAAAGGCTAGCCTTGATGTGTAAAAACGACAAGATGTGGTTTTAAAGGTTGTTAAAGATTTCTTCTCTAAAGTCACTGCTCCCAGCCATGCTAGCTGTTTCCCCCAGTTTCCAGTCTTTATGCTAAGCTAAGCTAACCAGCTTTATACTTAGCATATAATCTAAAGCAGCCAAATTAAAACACATTTTTCCACTCAGACACTCACGCAGCCATGAGTCTGCAGGTCCTCGCTGACGCGCGTGAGGTCGGTCTTCAGGCGGTTCATGCTGGGATGCTCGTTGTCATGGTGACGCAGAATGTTGTTCAGGTAGAAGTCGAGGATGTTGGCGTGGAGGCAGCAGATCTTCAGGTGGTCCTGCCAGAGAGGGAGAGGTCAGAGGTCACGTAAGGTTAGGAGAGCGATTTTTTTTTGTTTTTTGTGGGAAATGTTTGATTGTTTGAAATTATTCTCACCTGATCAGCTTTGACTCGGGGCATCAGTCTGGCGCTGGAGCCGTCATCCGTCTGCTGAGCCTGAAGAGACAGAAAACCAGATCAGCTTTAGATGCATCCAGATTTAAGAATCCCACAACCCCCCAAATAACCCCAAATGCCTCTATAATTGCCTCAGGTTGCTAATAAAACCCAATAAATACAAGAATGTGACCTTAGTGTGTAGCTATTGTTGTAGTTTACAGGACACGTGAGGTACTGTCCAAAATCTATGGAGTAACTTTAGTGCTCAAAGAACACAATTAGAAATGTTAAGTTCAAGTTAAACTAAAAAAAATAGTACATTTGCAGATTTAAAGCCAGATTTCTGTATTATAGCTGGAATTCTGGGATTAAAAGTAAATACCAACACATTTGTTTAACAGCTAAAAGTTGAGTTGCAGGTTTTACATTTAATAAAATATGATTTGTAGATAAATATGATAAAAGTAGCTTCAGTGTGACCTGCTACAACATTAAAATACTGC